TATAAAAATTTATAATAAGTTCCGACTATGATACTTAGTAATGATTATACCCTTTAACTGCGAACTACCTCTTAATTGTATTTTTTATTTTTGGAAAACAAGATCTTTTTGATCCATAAGCTTAATAAGATCGAAAATCGAAAACTTAATTCATGCAATAAACTTTTGTGAGTGAATAATATCGTAATTTACTTGTTCTTTCTTTTAGACATTTATTGAACGAAAAGAGTATGTCCAATTGTTTGATCGATCTTTTTTTTCAAAATAACATGCACTCTTCACCCGATTTATATTTTCCATATCAGATACATAAGAGTTTTTGCACGTTCTATATTGATTGTACAATGATGTTTACTTATTTAGAATGGTCAACTGTAAAATTCTGTTTTTCCAATTATTAGATTATTAGCATCGCGTCGCATAAATTGTTATTTTTTTTAAGAATTTTTTTATCGAAGTTAGAAGATCAAGTTTATTTTAAATCGAGTTATGGAACGTTGAAATCTGGGGATCTAGATCGTGTTCTTAAACGTTTGACGGCAGACTGAAACCTGTTCCAACAATTAACGCGAGAGCCTTTGATATTATTAGCTTTTCTTCATTGAGGTATTTACAAGCGTTAATGCTGCATATATTACAGCATTATGAATTTAATAATCGTATGCAGTGTGAAATAATAACGGTTAGTAATTTATCCGTGATTGTTAAAAATAATTACATAGTACGTAGACGTTCTGGGTTTTACTAATATAACATGAATTACGTATTCAAGATTTATGAGCGAGGTCAGTTGTATATCACAAGAATATAAAAAGAAATGACAAATAAATAAGAAAAAATAAGAAAGATTGTACACTGTTCGCTGACCACATCCCCAGGCCTATATTAATTTTATTATCAAATCAATCAATACTATTTAGAGATACCGTGGCATTTACGTATACGACTCTTATGTCTCTTATATTTTAAAATTATTTTAATATAAAATTTATTTTATATTTTTTATTTTATATAAATAAAAATATATATATAAATATATATATATATATATATATATATATAGACCATATTTGAACGCGTGATAAGTATCCGTTTATTTGACTTTTATGCAATATGGCCTCAATGAACTCTTTATACACGCGGGATGTACTTATTCACTTCATTCATTCACAAACGTCATGAGATTAACATCTACATCAATCATTATATTGAAGTACATGAAGTTCATGCGTTTTATTATTTTTTATAATTTGGGATTTCATTTGTAACCATTCCATTGACTTGTGACGAACATTAACTTTTTTTTTTTTTTTTTTTTATCCTACTTATAGTGCATAAAATTAAGATTTTAGCATAAATGATTATATTAGTATTGCAACACTGAAATAATAAAAAAAAAAAAGTTTTTTTGATTTAAATATATGTATTACTCAATGCAAATCTTTTTTAGAACATGCTTTGTAAAAAAAAAAAAAAAAAAGAGAAAAAGAAAAATGTGTTGATATTAAATGTGCATTACTTAATACCCAATCCTTTTTAGATCACGCTTTGTTTTTTAAAAAAAAAGTATAAATACTGGCCCAGATTTAGATAATCCCCTTTATCAGTTCTCAAGAATCTGATTCAAATATATGTGAACTTTTCCTCATTCTTCGCGTCAGGTCGTCGATTACATATATACTATTTTTTAAAAGAGCTTCTTTTTACCTTTCCTTTTAAAAACTTGAATTGTACCTATTATTATTTTTTTAAAAAAAAAACATTTTTCATTTGACTTCTTCGCTTCGTTTTCTTGAAACATTCAAGATGAATAATACTAGCTGTCAATTCGAAACTCGGGAAGCTGAATTTAATCAAGCGGCACTTTATCGTTACGACTATCACTATGACCATCATTACGACCATCGTTACGACAATCGTTATGACAATCATTACGAAAATCGTTTCAACCATCGTTATGGCCGTTACGATCGTTCAGGATTCATTTCTTCAAACAATCCTTGCTCAAGTCCTAGTGTTTCCGAAACAGATAATGTGAAGCTTTCACTCAATAACTCTGCTGTAAAACAACCTGATCCAAATATTATCAAGCAGGTCATCGACGAACTTGATCCTATTACTCTCTTAAGAATTCAACAACAAATCTCTCTTCAAATTGAAGATCTTATACGTCCTGCCCGTAAAGTACGTAAATCTGGTGTTCCTCGTCCACAAAATTTATTCGTCATTTTTCGTAAAGACTATCAAGCAAGATTAATTAAGAAAGGTCATGATGTTGGTGCTCTTTTATCTCTCGTTTCAAAAGAAGCTTCTGAACAATGGAAGCTTGTCGATCAATCCATCAAAGACATATATGATATAATTGCTAACATGGCAAGAAAAGTACATGAAAGAACCTATCCCGATTACGTCTATAAACCAAAAAAACGTCCTCAAAAATCGGCTTTTAATCGTGCTTTCGGTCCTAATTTTTTCAATCAACATAATTCTTATTCGTTGTATAATCATTCCAACTGTTACGCTAACAGTTGTTACGTTAATAGCTGTGCTAACAGCTGCACTAACAGTTGCGCAAACAGTTGCGCAAGCAGTTATGTTAGCAATTTTGCTACACCGACGATCAATTTTACCAGCTTTAAAAATATAGCACCTCCATCTCCTTCAACAACTTCTCAATCTTCAACAAGTCCAACATTAGACCATTTGCCTTGGAATTATGGTATAAATTCATTAAAGAAAAATCACGCTGATGATGTAGCTTTATCTCCTCTTCATGTTCTGTCCGTTCCTTCTGCAGAAAATTACGATAAGAAAATGTGTAGATCTTTCGGAGGTCCACTTTAACCGATATTTCGTGCCGAACACAAGATCTTTTTTTTTTATAGAAATAACCGTATGTGAAATTTTGGGTTCCTTTTTATCATTTAATTAAATTAATTCAATGAAATCTATTCTTTTTCTTTTATGTGTACTTTATCAATTCAATTGAAATTTTTTATGTAATTTACAACAATTTTTTTTATGTATACGATCACTCACTTCAAATATGAAATTGATTCTCACAAATATTTATTCTTATGCACTCTTTTCATATTCTTTATTATATTTTCTATTCCCTTAATTTATATAGTACATACCATTTTTAAATCTATGGTTTTTTAGTTTCCTCTTTTTTATGTTTTAAATGAACTCCTTTAACTTAGCATCAGAAAAAAATTTTTTTTTTTTAAATGAACTCCTTTAACTTAGAATTAGGAAAATTTACTTGATATTATTATTTTTTTTTTATTTAATTTTTTTTTTTTTTTTTTATATTCAGTCAATTTAATATAACTCTTAATAAAAACATGTACAATTATTATTCGTGAGTTTTATTATTATTGTTTCCCGCCTAGTATATTCCCGGGGTTTGTGCAGCATCAAGATTATCTATGGACTACCATAAACAAGACCCGGGTCTCTTACATTCCACCAATTTTAAAACTTATAATAGACCCGGTCCTAGTATACAGCAGTTCATGTCGTTAAGTGGAAAACTTTGAAGTGCATGCATTTATAATAGGCAGTCCAGATACTTGAAAAAACTCTGGTTTGATTAATATAAATCTCGTGATTCACATTCGGATATACTACATATATACGTACTTACGTGGCGGGGGTCTTGTATACGGCGATTTACAGTAATATTAATAGAATAAAATCCCTTAACCTGTCTAACCTGTCTAAACTGTGCTAAGAGTTTTTAGTTCGTTCCACAATATATATATTTTGATTACTGATGTAAATAAATGCTAGCCAATTAATTTCTAACACAAATGTTATTTTTATTATTAATTAATAATATAAAAAATTTAACTGAAATCCGGATATATGTACTGTACATATGTATTGTACATACATACATACCAGATACTTACATACCAGATACATACATACCAGATACATACATACCAGATACATACGTACAGTACGTACATTACGTACGTTCGTACGTACGTACGTACGGTGTGTATGTATTACCGTTACGATAATCCGGTTCTGCATGACACTTTACACTATCAAATATACTGTATGTATTATCAAATATATAATATTTTTTACGTAATATATCACTTTAGAAAAAAAAGATCAATCGATGATATACAGCACATTGATTAGCGGTAAGGGATACATTACATAACACACTTCATCAGTACATATTTCACCAATAACATTGATATCATGTAAGGTCAAATTTTCTCATATCAAAAATTACGAATATTTTTGGAAATTTGATTCATAAAACTCTTTTTTATAACTCTATACTTAATTTGAAAGTAATTTAGTATCGAACCCATTCTCTTTTACATCAAAGATTTATAATTGTGCATATTAATAAAAATAATTACTGTAATACACTAATTGAATGAATTAAAATTATTTTCTTACCCAAATATCGAATTTATAAAGATACTATCTATATTAGATATATAAATAAATTTAGACAAACTTCTTTGTATGTATTGAAATTTGAATTGTTTAACTAGTCTATTTAAAAATATCTATAAAAAATTTTTCATTCATAAATTTTAAATATCAAATAAACAAATGGTTGATAATGTATTCATAAATCTTTCTGTTTTTATGTAATAATAATTTTTTCGAAAATTATCTTTACATCCCTGTTATATTTTTATGTTCCGCGTCTTGATTTGAGTGATTGAAATCTGTTTGTGATATCTATATCTGGACATATAATTCCGGGGCAACTTTATTGTATATTTTTGGATTGTGTCATATGTATAACAGAATTTTCTACGTCCAATCATTACTATGTTTGAGTGCTGCCAAGAGAAAGTTTATAGGTTACATTTTTTGAATACTTAACAAAAATATCTTAAGTAATTTAAACATTTGTTATTTTTATCATCTCATTAGATGATTAAAAATCCTAGGCGTTTGAAAATTTGGTTTAAGATATTTTTATTCAAAGTAATTATTCAAAAAAAGCTTGACTTCAAAGTTTTTCCTTGGCATTGGTTATAGAATTTTATTTTTGATATTGATCATATAAAATTGCCTTTGTCATAAAATAATATCATTATTTATGCAAATTATCATGACAATAAGCAAATATATATAATATATAAAACATCAAAAATATTGGTCATACGTACGAAAATAAATTATCGTTATAGTTATTGCGTGCAATAAATATAAGTGAAAAAAGCACGGATTATTACATAAGATCCGTGCAATAATATTAGTGTTACAAGCCGCCAATGTAATCTGAAGATCACATGACTATAAAAGTATAATTTAGGCCAGAGTGCATGATGCCGAGCGGAATTATGTAATAGGAGTCTTGTTCCGAAAATTTCTAATAAACATAAAAGACGAAAAGGATAAGATTTGAGCAAATCTCTGAAGGCAAAAAAAAAAAAAAAAGGCAAATAGATCTGTCCTTAGCCAATGTTTTTATCGAGCTGGCTAAGCCAGTCCGATAAGAACCTTTTATAAATAATATATCCAGTGATTATCTAGATTCTCAGAAGTTAATATGATCTTAATGATAAACTGTCTTCGTGGTCGCCAGTGTCGCGTAAAAAGTTGCACAATATACTAGTTTCCATGAATTAACCAAGCAAGTGAATTTCGTTGAATATTGACGTTCTGTGTAGAAGTCGGAATTAGTGTCTTCATACCATGGAGAGATGGGCCAGAGAAAATAAAAACAATTACAAAATAGACAAAATAAGTTGTCAAGTGAAATTGAGTATTGGAAAAGACCACGCCTCTGTTACGCGGACACTTGGCTCGTGATTGTCCGGCTCAAAATTCCAATGCATAAAGGAAGGTTCAAGAAGGCCTCGATTGCCCTATGAAAAATGGTACACGGAAGTACACGTATAAATACGGAATTATATATGGGCAAACACGAGTAACATGATCACCTCATGGAAACTGATCGTCCAAAAAAAAATTTAAAATACCACACGAAAAGTTGAGATTCGTGCACTGACGTGCCAATCGTTAAGATTCTTAGCGATTACATAATTTCCATGCACTGACGTACACAATAATAAATTCTTAGAACTGTTAAACCCACTTTCCATCCATCGCAGGTTGAATCAATGAATATCGAATCCATACCGGAAGAGATATGCACCCGATAGTCTGCCAAATACCTACAGCTTATTGGTAAGATATCGAGAGGTAGATCGATATCAGCAACATAACAGCAAAATATTGGGATATCCCGATAACTTACTTTTAGGCCCAGAGTGCTAAGAGTAAGATAGCAGGGTATTACATTATTGCTTTATTATGTTACCGATATCGATCTACCTCCTTCCTGATATCTTACCAATATGCTGCTGATATTTTGGCGGATCTATGCAGACTATCGTGTCTATCCTTGTACAATCTTCTGAGGTTCGCATGTCTGGCACAAAGCCTCAGAAATAGTGTTTGTAATCTATAGCACATTAGTCGACTTAGTCAACTTTCTATAAATTCATCATACTCAAAATTCATTTTTAATTTAATACTATACTAAAGTCATAACATTTTTTCGATATGATCTTGGTCATATAATCATATGACTTTTGGGTCATAAGTCATAGAGGTCATATCTAATATTAGTAAAAAAATTTTTTACTGATTCTTACTATATTAAAAGGTCATAAAGTCATATCAACCTTCGTTATGATCAAATCATAGGTTCATTTAAGGTCATCGACCAACACTGATACTAAATATATGAAAAACCATTTTTGAAGATTCTTTATTCAATATACAGTAAATGTGGATATAATTAAACAAAAGATTAGTTGAATATTTTTATTTTTTTCCTTAAAATAATTTTTTATTAGTAAGCTGCTTATTTACAGTATACAGTATGGTGCCTTGAAATGAGAAATTGTTTCATTCATATTAGTAAGAAACCAATAATGATAAAAAAAAAAAATGCTAATTATAATAAATTACGTATCGAATATGTATCAGCTTTCTTAATTAACTTATGTATAAGAATTTTTAAATGTAAAATTTTATTTTTATATGTTCACTACTTAGTCGGCTTAGTAGTCATATTTAGAAACCGACTATTAAAACTACTAAGAAATATTAAATTTAACACACTTTTCGTTTCTACTGCAGTATCTTTTTAATTCGTAATTTGGCTAAGGTTAACAATTAGGTGGCCGGATTTTGTATTGCCGGTAATTTCTAAATTAAGGTTAGATTTTCATATTC